AGAATAATTTTTTCTAAGATATATGCGAGAATCCTAGCTTGCGCTTTGCAGAAACAACCGATATTTTTAGATGGAAAGTAGGCGAAAATTTAAGACTTTTTGCCGAATTTCGGCACGAAAAGTTTCATGCCTATTTCTACCGTAGAGGATAATGTTTCTACAAAAAATCAAAATTTTCCGCACGAAACTGCCAAAGTTATGGCCGAAAAGGTGTGTTTTCTCTGACCGCTCTCCACGTTCTCTCGAAAAAGATCGTTCAATATCTCGACGCCCTCCGCAAATCTTGAGCCAAAATTTTCCTGGATTAATATACGACAAATATAGAATGTGGACCCAAAATTTGAGGAAAATCGGGTACTTGCAATAAACGAAAAAATTAAATTTTTCAAATTTTCCCCCAAAATTTGACCAAAATTTGACCAAAATCGACAAAAAAGCCCAATTTTTTTTAGTAAGACCTCGAACACAGCCTAATCTTCCTTTTTATAACGAAGACGAAAATCGTTTTTCTTATTTTTAGCAAAAAAAATCTCCGCAAAATCACGGCCAAAGAGTCAAAAAAAGCGAAAAAATAGAGAAGGGTCACACTTTGACCACCAAAAGGACGGATCTTCCCTACCGATTTTCGGATCGAATGGGATGTTTTGTTTTCGGGGTTGTAAACAAGGGAAATTAATTGGGACGTCAAAAAAAAATCTCCGGATTCTATATACAATATAATATGTATGTATTTTCGCGTCCCGACCTTTCGGGTCGACGACAGTTCGGGTCAACACAAGATCGATCGGTACGGGGCGTATGGCGGGTTTACACCCAAAAAAAGGTTGTATGAAGTGCCCACGAGGCCTAGCAAAGCCGTTGGATGGTTGGCGGACGCTCGGCGAAGGCTCGGCGGAGACTTGGCACAGGCTCGAAACACGTGGAAACATTACAGTGAGGGACCGGATCCAACGGCAAAAAACGTCTCATTTTTCATCCCGGAAGGGACCAAAACGTCTCCAAACCCTTCCCTTCTCTAAGCTAAAAACCCTCGCTTTGAAGAGCCCGCCTTGAAGGAAAGGGCGCGCTTTTCAAACCAGAGTTTTTTAGCTTAGAGAAGAGAAGGGTTTGGAGTCATTTTGGTCCCTTCCGGGATGCAAAATGAGACGTTTTTGCCATTGGATCAGGTCCCTCACTGTACCTTCTACAGTGGCGGACCTGAACCAGTGGCAAAAAGCATATCATTTTGCATCCCGGAAGTATCAAAAATGTGGCAAAATACCTCCATTTCCAAGTGAAAGACTCCGATTTCAAAAGCGCGCCCACTCTTTTTGTGAGGGAAAAGGCGCGCTCTTCAAAACGCAGTTTTTTCATTTGGAAAGGGAGGTATTTTGCTGCATTTTTTTGATACTTCCCGGATGCGAAATGGTATGTTTTTTGCCGCCGGTCCTCTACTGTACGGTAGAAAGAACTTTCCATACCAAAATATGCAAAAAAGCGTCATATTTTTGCCAACTTTCGACCTAAAAATCTCGGTCGTTCCTGCCAGCTAGGAGTCTCGTTTATGTCTTAGAAAATGCTCTAAATTTGTGTCAATTTTTATCAAAATCTGAGCGTCTCACTTGGAGCAGTTCCCCAAAAAAAAAACAAAAAGTTTTCCCCTTCACCTTACCATTTCCCCAGACAAACCCTCTCCAAATTACCTCCCACAACTTTCCCGTATACCTCAAAAACACTTTTAAAAACCTCGCAATCCTTGTTACTAAGTGTTCGACTTACTATGACACATACAACCAAGGTCGTCTCCCCCATTTTTTAATAACCACAAAACATATAAAAGTGCGAAAGAATCGTCGCTCTTTTCCCAATTTGGTGGTCGAAAAAACAAGTTAATCCCAAAACCAACAACCCCATTATGCGATCGTCGCCACAACACATGCGATGCGCGGTTTGAAGGGCCATTAAATCGATGTGAAATTGTTGGAAAATCGAGTTTTGAATAAAAAATTTTTTAAAATGGCGGAAAATTGAAGGCTTGAAATACCAAAAAATGATTCCAATTCTTTTGTCAGACCAAGTGGACCTTTAAAGACGAATTTTGAAAGAAATCAGAGACAGATTAGAGATACCCGGACCTGTTGATAAGATACCGGAAATATATATATTTATCTGTCTCACGTAACGAGACAAAGAAATTGGGTGAGAAAAAGGGCGTAAATCTTATTTATGTATATAAAAAACATATGGTTTCAAATAGGACTTTGTTATCAATAAGCTAAAAAGTAAAAAAAAATAAGAACTAAAAAAGAGTGACGGACCCGATCCAGTGGAAAAAAACGTGCAATTTTGCATCTGGGAAGTGTCAAAAATGTAGCAAAATGCCTCCGTCTCGAGTAAAGAAACTTCGTTTTGAATGGCGCGCCCCATAAAAAGAGCGGGCGCGCTTTTAAAATCGGGTTTTTTACTTGGAGAGGGAAGTATTTTGCTACATTTTTTGGCGCTTCCTGGATGCAGAATGACACGTTCTTTGCCACTGGATCCGGTCCTCTACTGTACGGTAGAAATATGCATGAAACTTTCCATACCAAAATTTGCAAAAAGCGTCATATTTTTGCCAACTTTCGACCTAAAAATCTCGGTCGTTCCTGCAAGCTGGGAGCCTCGTTTATGTCTTAGAAAATGCTCTAAATTCTAGGATCAGGTGCCCCATTGTAGATTAATCAGGTCCTAGGATAGTTTAGGTCAACGATCCTATGGATACACTTTGTTCGTCGTTGTGCGCATGGGGCGGCTAGGAAAAGGGCTTCGTTAGCAGAAATAATTAGATTGATCAGGGGGACGTTTCACGTACAAAAAGGGCACTAACTCGAGTTAGCGGAATCTCAGAAAACGCGGAGAGAGCAAAGAGAAAGAGGAGTGGTAACTCGAGTGACCTGACTTTTTATCGACTTTGGCCGCACATTTTGGGCCATAACTTTTGATACAATGACCAATTTGCGCCCTTCCAAAAAAAATATTAATGCTGGTGGTACACAGAATACATGGATACAAATTTGTAAATTTTTCTTCTAAATCATGCAAATTATACGCAAATTTTTTTCTTGATATTTAAGACGCAAGATACAAAAACTAAAGAAGTTATAGCCAATTCAAATCGGGCCACAAAGATGCCCCACCCTGTAATATCTAGATAAAAATTACGGATCTTCGTTTTTTCCCCGCAAACATATTGCAAGTCTTCGCCAGGCCTCCGCCGAGCGATTCAACAGTTTTCACAGGCCTCGTAAGCACTTCCTACAACATTTTTTTGGCTTCCCGTCTGTTATAGGCTTCGTATCAATCGATTTTGTGATGACCCGAAATGTCGTCGACCCGAAAAGTCGGGACACGGAAAACTCGATTTTGATACGAAATTTTGAAAAAAATATTTTTGAAATCGCTGATTCAGGACAAAAAGAGAAGAATCTTGTCATGCCCACCATTTCTACACGGTTTTCTATAAAGAACAAGGCGATTTTTCAACTTGAGTTCGCATGACCCCGGAAATATAAGCAAAGGCTTTATAATTTTCAAGTTTTTACGCAAACAAATGCGGAATCAATAAAAAATTTTGTTGAAACAATCTTTATCATAATAAATTACGAAATAATTTGTGCCTTCGCTTTCGTATTTTACCTTATTTTTATTTATTTTGTCAATTTTTAGCCCAAAAAACAGAATTTTTCACAAAAATCTTTCAAAAAACGGCAAAATCTAAAAATTCTAAAGTCAAGTGCATCTAGAATTACCTCAAATTTAATTTGCAATCATCCTTTTACTTTATTTTATACAAATTTATTTAAATTTTTGCAAATTTCCCGCCTTTTCCCTTCAAAAAGCGCAAAAAGCCGAAGCGAAAGGGCGGCCGCTTCCCCTTGAAAGAAACGAAAAGAGAGCGGGAGTGTGATCAGGTGGCCGAGTGGTTAAGGCGATGGACTGCTAATCCATTGGGGTTTCCCCGCGTGAGTTCGAATCTCATCCTGATCGAATCTGCTTTTTGATGAATTTTAGGGGAATTTGAGATTTTTTGTTGTGGGGAATCGATTGGAAGTTGTTCTAGAGTGCATGTACTATATTTTTACACCCATTTGACGCGATATTTGGATACTTTTTATCGTTTTTTGGGGGAAAGTTTATTTTTTGTGCAATTTTTCGCTGAAAATCGGTTTTTAAGATAGGAAAAGTATTCAAAATTGCTCTCTAATATATTCCACTTGCCATTTCACGAATTTTCTTACCGATTTAGTTGTTCTCAGACCCATTTTTCGGACGTTTTTTTCGATTATCCCCAAAAATTCTCCCTTTTTTTCTTCCAACCCCCAAAAATTCTCTTCAAAACCTACCGTAACCCCTTGCAAGTGCCTCAAATCCTCTCCGAATTGTATCTACAATTTATTTCAAAAATAAAAACAGTGACGATTCCGCAAGACTACTGCGGAAGTCCGGATAAATAAGAGATGGAGATTGTACGTACAACTACTGCTTACAATGTTTGTGTTGCAAAACACCCGATGGACAAATTTTTTAGACAAATTTTAGACGATTTTTTTGTGGAAAAGATTGGAATTCAGAGTTCTAAAAAAAATTTACTTGAAAAAAATTACAAAAAAGACCGTATTTTAGATAGACAAAGATGTATATCTTGCATTGGTAGGGAAGGAAAATGTAGGACAATGCGGTTTAATACAATTTTAAGAACAGTTTTCGAGAAATTTTGGGAAAAATCGAGAAAATTTATATTATACTAGGTTGTTGATGAAAAATTGGCCAAAAAACGGGGAAAACAAAGTGAAATTGCCGTATTTTAGGGTCGAAAATAATCTTGAGACCTTGATATTTAACTTAACAAAAAAAATTTTTTCGGAAAACGACTTTTTTTCTACTTTTTAGCCAATTTTAGGTCAAAACCTAGTGTAATATAAAAAAATCAAAAGAAATCGAAAATTAAAGGCAAGACAGATAAGACGACTGGTCACTGGTGCTTAGACAACATTATTCAGCGGTTTCTTGTCCTCGGCCTTCTCCTCTTCCCCTTGGTTTTCGTGTGGGACCACTTCGAAGTAGGCGGGCGGCTGCGGAATCTGGCATCCCAACAACTGGTCGGGGTACTGGAAGGCGTTGTGGGTGGCGGCGAGCTGCTCGCTGATCTGTCTGGCCACCTTCTTCTCGCCCAAGAAGGCGTAGCAGCGCCAGACCACGGACAGGCACCAGGCGTGGATCAGGGTCCCGACCAAGTGCCCGATGAATTGGGAGGAGGAGTAGGCGCGTTGCTCGGGCGTCTGGTTGCGGTCAATGTTCACAAAGTCGGTGGTGATCTGAAAACATTTGAGTAGAAATTTCTGATTAGAAGGTATTTATTTGGCGTTTTAGGATACTGTAGACACGTTTCGTCGTATAACATGTCCAAGCCCTCAGAATTTGCTAAACAATATGGCAAACCCCATGTTAGAAGAAATGTTCGGACAAAACAGTCAGTTTTTTATGTCATTTATCTACTACTCGAGACTCTAGACATTTTATACGATGAAACATGTTTGATCGTATAAAATGTCTTTCTTAACAAAGAATGTTAACAGGAAAAAGCGAATGCTCCTACAGCTCGGACAAGCAAGTTCTTTCAAATTTTTTATATTTTCCTTCAAAGAGAGATATTTTATACGACAAAAAATATTTGATCATATAAAATGTCTCTTTTGAAGGAAACTATGAAACTTTTCGTAAGAGCGTGTTTGTTTTTGGCTGTAGGAGCATTCGATTTGCGCCTATTAAAATTTTTTGTTATCAAGGACATTTTATCCGATCAAACATGTTTCATCATATAAAACGTCCCAAATCCTCAATTTCACCTCCTTACCTGTGCGCATCCGGCCAAAATGGCGATAGCGGCATAGCCAATGTACGGCAACAACATGACTCTTCTCTCGCTTCGGATTCCGTGCAACATAACGACCACCAGGATCAGCTGCATCGACACGGCGAAAAGCAGCTGACTGATGTATCTCGCCGTGTACTGGTTGACCCAGTGGTCGGCGGACAGATGCCCGGTCACCGCCATCATGTAGTGGTAGCCGAAGAAGATGCTGAACGCGAAACTGATCAGCATCTGGATGTAGCCGATGTGCAGCGCGGCCTTGGTGACGTGCACCATGCGGCAGAACACCTTGTACTGGTCGGCGTCCGGGTTCCACAGCTGGTCCATGGACAGGTCCATGAGCCCGATGCGGTACTGGTCGCGGTACGGCGGCGGGACGGCCGGCTGGACCAGTGGACGACGTTGGCTATAGGGCTTGGTCATCGTTCTGAAAATCGAAAATACATTCAAGAGAATGTGGACGACGTATTTCTCTGATAAAAATCGCGAAAAATAAAATGTCAAAATGGGTAGGAATTTATCATAAAAATCATGTCAAAAAGTCAAAAAAATAACTCAGAAACACTCTCCCGTCATTCCCTTGCTATTTTCGAAACTTTCCGCCTTTTCTCAGACATTTTACACGATAAAACATGTTTCATCGTATAAAATGATCTCAACAAAAGAAAAATTCAAATTTCATAAAACAAAACCTGTATTCAGCTCGTCATAAGTCTTATTTTATTATTTTCGGAACTCCTCATTCATTAGACGACGTTTTATACGATCAAACATGTTTCATCGTATAAAATGCCTTAAATGACAAAAAAACTTTATAACAAAATAGAAATCTCAAGACAGGGCTCATTCTCAACCTTATTTTACCATTTTCGGAACTCCTCATTCATTAGACGACGTTTTATACGATCAAACATGTTTCATCATATAGAATGCCTGAGCTCATAAAACGAACATTACTTTTTGTATGAAAACTTCCGTCCTACTATAATCGCTCGCTATAGTTCGACCTTCGAATATCAGGGGCTCATCCGACCCAGATTTTCCCTTGTTTTACCTACTACAACATCAAAAACAGACAAACAATGGGGACGGGGACGTGAAAGGCAGGTATATAATATTTAAATTCATTCCCAACCAAATGCATATCGAATATCAATGGGCCTCGAGGAGGGGAATACGCGTCGAAGAGGCGAAAACCCCAAGAATTCTGGGAACCGGCGCAAGTACAAAATACACGCGAATTGTGAAGAATTGAGTGAACAGTGGGCGTAAACTGGGTTTTTACCACGTAGTGGGCATCATTAGGAACGATAATACATCAAAATTTGGGGGATTTGCAGGGAGTGCAAAAAATTTGTTACCTAAAATTATATTATTTTAGGTGAAAATTGATGTTTTTCGAGTTTAAAACGAGGTAGAATGCTAGATAAATCATAGAAGAGGCAACAAAAGATAGAATAAGACCCATTACATAGCTTATAGGCGAAAAAATAAGCGACTTTTCCCACCAAATTCATCAAAAATAAGGTCCGTTAGGCGGAAAAAAGTGGAAATAAACACTATTCAAAACCGGAAACGATTTAGACGCCAACAGAAGGTCGACATTGTGCTTTTCCTTATCTGGGGGACAGTTGGAAGACGGAAATTTATGATTTTTGTCTCAAAACAGGTTTCATCGTATAAAATGTCCAAAATCACTGATTTTCGACCAAAAATTAAAAAAATGGAAATTTTGGTTAAAAATGGTAAATATTACTGGCAATTCAGCCTTCAATTTTATACGACATCAACTTATTATCCCTTTCAGGACATGTTTCATCGTATAAAATGTCCAAAATTGCCAATTTGAGATCATATACTAAAAAATGGTAACTTTGGTAAAAACGCATATTACTGCTGGCAATTCAGCCTTCAATTTTATACGACATCAACCCATTTTCCTATTCAGGACATATTTCGTCGTATAAAAATGCCAAAAGTTGCGAAATAAGCGCCTAAGCCGCGAGAAAAGTTCGCTGAATAAAATGTTAGACCTGAAAGACCAAATATCCGTCATCCTCTTCCTTATTCGCCTCACATTGCCCGCTAATCCGTCGAAATTATTCATTGCATTAATTCACTTTTCAAATCCCCCCGTCCTCCACCCGAAATGACAAACGAACGCCATTCGCAGCGTCGTGCGGAGACTCGTGGTTTCCATGACGACATTCGGAGAGGTTTGGGCCTACATCCGCCCAATGTTTTATATTATTTTAGAGTTGGGGGTTATGTGGAATGTTTTGGACAGGAAGTGGGGAAAAGTGGAAAAATGAGGGCCAAAGGTCCGGAATCGGTGTGGAGGGTGAAGGAAACAATTATTGAGGGTGTTTTATGTTGAGTAAAAGTAAAAAAAGAGGGAAAATTCAAAAAATCCCAAAATTTTACTACAAAAAAAATCATGACATATCAAAAAATTTTTTTTGAAAAAATTGAAGAACATAGTCTCAGCAATTTTTTTATAATGTTGAAAAAGTTTTGGACCGATTTTTTGAACGAAATTTTTCGATTTAAAAAAATTTTGAAATTTCAAAATTTTATCTTAAAATGGGTATGCTTGATTAAAAATTTAAATGCCAATCACACTACTAAAGCGTCTTGCTAAAATTACAGAGCAAATTTTCCCAGAAAAAAGACTTGAAATTGGCGAAAAATTTTGAAATCCCCTTTCTCCGTGCACTGTGCAAAAAATAAAAAAAAACAAAGTAATCATCTCCATATGTGTGGGATTACCATAAGAGCCCTCTAATCTGAACGTGTCAAACGCCCACTATCAAATTGTTCCGGTGGAAATGCGTCGGCAAACAAATTTCGACAAAAAAATGGGAGGTAAAAAAAGTGAAGTTTACAGTACTATAACTTTCGACTTTTTTTTCCAAATTCGGCATGAATAATTCATATAGCCCTCAAAACAATCGCTGAAAATTTTAGCCCGAAATTTGCAAGGGGAGCGGAGATATCCACTGAGGCGAGAGAGTGTGTCAAATGGGGAGACGGTCAGAGAAAAATTTTTTTTTCATGGATTGTGTCAAAATGTTTGGTTAAAAATAAAATTTTACGGGTGATATTATAGAATTTTAAGATAGAAAAAATTTTTTGCACAGTGCGGAGATCTCACAAAATTTTTTTGTTCCGCACGGTGCAGATTTTTATAAAAAAAATTTGCACGGTGCGAAAAATAAAAAAATAGTTTTTTTTGCACGGTGCGAGAAAAATAAATAAATTTCACTGCACAGTGCGGAAAACACACGAAATTTTTTTTTGCACAGTGCAGAATTTTAAAATCTAAAATTTTTTGCACAGTGCGGAAATCTCACAAAATTTTTTGTTACGCACAGTGCAAATTTTTATGAAAAATGAAAAAATTTTGCACGGTGCGAAAAAAATCAAAGTTTGTTTGCACCGTGCAAAACAAAAAAAATAATTTTTGGCGTATATCTTTGCGAAAATTGACCGGAAAAAATTGGTTTTTTAATGAAATATTGTACTCGTCACCCTCAAACAGATAGCTGATTTATCATTTTAAAAATCGCAAAAAAAATTTTTTTTAATTTTTTTTTAATTTTTTTGGCAGGTTGCGGCCAAAAATCTTGATTTTTTTGCAGAATTTAAGTTGAAAACGCTCCTATGTCTTTAAAAAATATCTAGATTTAATTTTTCCCCAGATTTGTCAAAATCTAACAGAATTTTTTTTTTTTTTTTGTCTAGCCTTGAGCAAAACCAGTGCATTTGACATCTAAAACAACAAAATGAATAAGGGAAATGACTGATAATTGATTCGACTAAAGACTGAGCTGCTGTAATAGAGGAAAATTGCTTATCAATAAGCTTCTTGCAAAGAAATATTATTTTGACCTCAAACATCTCAAAAAAAATAAGATTTTAGTCTTTGTTTGCTCCAAAAATAATTTTTTCGGCAGAGAAATGAGAGACGTGCGCTTTTAATTTCTGGCCCCAAGTCTAACGCCAATTTCCGGTGACACTTCAAATGTCATGTCACAAAGAAATTAAAAAATTTTAACAAGTCGCTAAAAAAAGAAATTTGAAATTACCGGATGATGCCAAAGTATAGTAAATTTTTGGGCGAAAATTTAATTTGACGGGAGGATATTAGCGGATTTTTTTTTAAATCAAAAAAATTGCACGGTGCAAAAAAATAAAGAAATTTTTTTTTGCACAGTGCAGATTTTTAAAAAAATTTTGCACGGTGCAAAGAAATAAAAAAAAATTTTTCGCACGGCGCGAGAAAAAAAAGTAAATTTGATTGCACAGTGCGGAAATCTCACAATTTTTTTCTGCATAGCGCAGAATTTTTCTTTTGAAAAAAATTTGCACAGTGCAAGGAAAAGTAAATTTGATTGCACTGTGCGGTTTTTCCAAAAAAAATTTGCACGGTGCGACAAAAATCAAAAATCTTTAGCTGCACAGTGCGGAAATCTCAAAAAAATTATTTTTTTGCACTGTGCGAGAAAAAAAGTAAATTTGATTGCACAGTGCGGAAATCACGCAAAAATTTTTTCTGCACAGTGCAGAATTTTTCCTTTGAAAAAAATTTGCACAGTGCGAGAAAAAAATAAATTTGATTGCACAGTGCGGAAATCTCAAAAAAAATTTTTTTGCACTGTGCAAAAAAACAAAATTTGATTGCACGGTGCAGAAATCCAAAAATTTTTCTGCACTGTGCACCAAAAATTTTTAGGCTCTAATTTCGTCTAAAAATCCCTCAACTAAACTTTAATTCGCCTGTTTCGGCGTTGCGCGCTATAAAACGAATCCGAAGAAAGGAAGGGAGAGGCATCTCCACACTTTTTCCTTTCTCACCTTCAAAAAGGGCACAAAAAGAAAAGTTTTTTTTCTATTCCTCTCAATGGGTTGGCAGCTGAGACGGACGTGTCAAAGGGAGCTGAAATCTCCAAAAAATACGCTTTTTTCTGCTTTTTGTAAAAATTGAAGAGATTGTAAATAGTCGCTGGAAAATTTTTTTGAAAAACAGACCATTCGAGAAGTGGGAAATAGAAAACAAAAGTGGAAAGGGTCAAAGTAAACGATTTTTTGGGGAAAATCAAAAAAAAAATAAAAATAAAAATTAATAAAAATTTTTAAAAATTTTAAAAATATTTTAAAAATAGTTCAATTTTTTCAAAAAAAATTCAAAAAAATATATTATATTTTTTTAAAAAAATATGTTTTATTTCAAATTTCAAAAAAAAAATAAATTTTTTAAAATTTTTCAAAATTTTTAAAAAAATTTCGGATCCAAAAGTCCTTCAAAACATTTCGAAAATAAAAGAAAAAATGCATCGGAAGATTCGGATTCCCAGATGCGATAAGATCAGGACAACAATGAAGGCCGAGCGCAAAGAAGGGTCGGGGGACAAATAAATTCC